GCAATACGCGGTTCATGCACTCGAACGGCATCATGGGTTGCTAGTGTTCCGCATTGTTCGCTATGGTTTTTATGCAGCTGCAATAATCAAGAACTGTTGCCGCATTTGCATCGAGCCTGGCAAGGCTGTGGCCGTTCCCGTCTTTACCGCAGCTGATGGCACAGATGTTCGCCACGAGTCCTTCCGGGTAGTGTTTGTGGTGTTCCACATAGGGGATCAGGTGGACAGCGGTCATTACCAGACTGCCATAGCGGTTCCCACGACAGCCACTCCTCCTGTGTGGCACTACTGGATTTGTGATGATAACAAACCCCCACGAAAAGCCACTCCTAAGGACATAGGCATACTCCACAGGAATGCCTATGTGGTTGGACTCGTGCGAGCTAATTAAGGGGAGGCGTGAGTCAGAGTAGAATCTTGAGCATTGCTATGGTATGTACAGTTCCTTGACTACCTAGGGCCGCCCGGGCGACTGCTCTCTTCACTCTGGCTCGTGCATCAGTGCAGCCACTGCAGGCTGCTGAATAATAGTTAATAGTCCGCAGAGCAGCCCGCCACAGAGCGGGCACGCACAGTGACATTCAAGATGTGCTGCAACACAGGATCACGCTCTCCGATTTGCGCCCTCCATTGCTGTTTTATTCTGTCGGTGACGAATCCGAGTGCCCTTGCTGTGCCGAGCAATGCAATACCTGTAGGTTTGTGACTGATCTGTGCAGCCGAATGTGACTCCTAGCACCTGTCTCAAGCTTGGGAATGCATGTCAGCAACACCATCATGCTCACACTTGCCGGCTTTTCTGCAGGACTGTCCTGAGATCATTTCTAGTTGCTATCAGCTTTCACCAATTGCAGCCTGCCGCACACCAGCTCGTACGCATGCCGCCAGTGACGCCTGCCCAGGACCTGACTGTGAAGGTCATCCCATTCCCGCTTGATGTATACACGGTTGCCTTGGAAGAATTTCTGCTGGTTGAGGCATCTGCAAAACTTCTTCGTCAACAAGGTGGCCCCACGCTACCACCGGCCGTTGGCATGGCGCCAGTGAATCAGATCCTTCAGCATGCCTTGAAAATGCTGGAGGAACCGTATCGTGATGACAGTCGTTTCTGTGTGCCTGGACCCGCGCCTACTATGACGGATGTTTTGCTTCCTGCGGAGGCGCTGGCACGATATATCTTTATGGAGGGCCACTGTCCTATATGGACCGCTGCAAGACAGGTGGTAGCAAAGATCGATTGGCCGTCAGATCAATGCTCAACACCTTCTGGCAGAGGCGGCAGTCTCGTGCTTGGGGCTTATTCCCACGGACCTTTTGCGGGAATATGTCGGCGAACTCGGGCACATGCGTCTGTTTGCCAGATACTGAACCGGCTTGTGCAGCACGTCAGTGGCTCTCATCAGTGGAGCTCTATCGCTCTGCACCTCGATGTACGGCTGCCTCCACACCGAGATTGCGGAAACTTCCCCATGGATAGTGTTCTGATCGGGTTGACACTTTACGTCAACGGCGGCTGGTGGGTCGAAGATGGTGCGTCACAGCGAGCAGCAGGTGATCATATGGCTGATGGATGCGGGTCCGTATACCGCCTCGACCTGCAGTGCTTGAAATTCCCGGCGCATCGCCTGGTCCACGCCACTCGTGATTGGCACCTTACCAACTTGATCATCGTCTCAGCCTTCACGATAAGACAAGTACACAAGCTGAGCCAGGAGCACCAAGCGCTGTTGCACGCTCCTCCTTCCGGTTCTCCCTAGGGGTTAGGTTGGATTGTTGGGTATTTGCCCTGCCTGGGCAGCGGTTGCCAAGGCACCTGTACAGGAACTCGTAGATAGGCTCAGGCTGTCAATGTCAATTTGGCCAGGCAAACAGCATGAGGAGCTGTTGGAACATTGCCCGAGGCCGCTGCCATTCCGCCTCCTACCTGGCCCCACATGGCAGAGGATGAGCTGCCAAGAGGCCCTGACGTCTTGCACAGCCTCGAGCATGCAGTCCATTTTGGCTTAGCCAACAAGATGAGCAGCAGGTGGTATGTCCAACTTGCACTAGCAGGTTGCAGCCCGGCGTCCGGCAGACGCTAATCACCAACCGGCTGTTTTGTCAGTGAAGACGCTCGCACTGCCGAGAGTGACTTCCACTTCCACACTGAGCACAGCACATGCCATGCGCCGGCGTCGCATTCAGTGGCAGCAGTGGTAGCATCCGGTCGCAGCCCACGGTGCTGCATCGATGCTCCGAAGATGAGCCTATGCCGGAGTCGCTTGATGCTACCGCGCCAGGACACCAGAACCAGTGCGTGCAAACAGCCGTCGGCACTGGATCGGTCACGGTGGTCAACGCTGCACAGGGAAGTCATGCAGGTGTCTTCAGCCGACTGGATCTTTCTGCTATGGACTGATGGAAACAGTTCGTGGAGCATAGATCCATGGAGCACTATCTAACAGTGTCGGAGGCTGTGAGAACCAGACGGCTCGGCTTGAAACAACGGCAGTATGAACAGTGGAGACCTGTGAATAGTTGAAGCTTGATAGTGTTGTTTTGCCAGTAGAAGGATCCTCAACAGCAGGATGCAGCCACTGAACTGCCGGCTATGCCTGCTTTTCGTCAATCATCGGAGCGACGGTGAGACGTGTGCAATGCAATACCACTACTACTACTACTACTACTACTACTACTACTACTACTACTACTATTACTACTACTACTCCGACAACTACTTCTACTACTGCTACTACTACTACTACCACTACTAGTTACTACTACTACTACTACTGCTACTACTACTATCCCGCTACTAATACTCCTACCCTTTCTACTCTGCCTACTTCTGTTCATACTCATACTTCATACTCATACGCTGCTCAGTTATTGGTGTTATTATTGCCAGTTGTACGACTACTCCTGTTTTTTGTTTTTGTGATTCTTGATGAGTTGAAGCAGGATGTTTAGGCCATGATAAACCTAGTTCTTGAGGTACCATTGCTACGACTACTACTACTACTGCTACTCCCACTATCCTTGGCCGCCCTTACTCCTATTCTTTCTCTCACTCCTGCTTCCACTTGATCCTACTCCGACTCTGCCTTCCACTACCCTCATGCTACCGCTGTATTGCCACTGCGCCTGTTATGGTATTTTACTATGACGACCACTACATTAATAATTTCCCCTTCAGCTTGCCAACTGGACCTGTACGTTGGCCGCGGAAAAGACATAAAAAACCGCCGCATGTCCATGTGGAATTCCCATTCACTTGCATGGTCGTTGGCCAGAGCTGGGGACCCCTCGCGCGACCCGGCGCATATGCTCTGCCCAGGATGTGTCATTTTTCGCACGGTTATAAAGTCCAGAGATCAACCGATGACTCGACCCCGGTGCGTGTGGACGCAAACAGTCGACAACGACAGCCACCAAATTAAAACTCCAACAGCAACGAAGGGTCGAAAGATACAGCAAAACTTTAACAGTCAGCATAAACGTTAAACGTTGAAAAGTACATCGAAATGCGAAAAGTCAGAACGGTCGATGTCGAAAACTTTCGAAAACGTCAAAAAGAAGATAACAACTAACCACGGAAGACAACCTCAAAATTGAATTGAACGCAGCTATTGTTGGTGCACGTTTCGGGTATGAGGCACCCAAAATGGCAACTTTCAATGGGTCTTGTGCTTCCGCAAGCACCTAGAGTGAACAAGGCACAATCATTGGGGCTCATTTGTGAGGTTTGGAGAGCCCCTTGTGCGCCCCAAGTTCCACTGATTTTGTTCATTTTGGGCATCCTCAAAACACCTTGAACGAACGAGCCCGTGGACAAATTGGGGGCTTTTTCTTGTTTGGGACCCCCTAGATGTCAATTGGCAAAAATTTTTGACCATGTCGCAGTTCCACCGGACAAGACATAGCCGATTGATGGCGATTGAACTCAGGTGGCAATTCTGCTCAGTTTGATACCATGTTGGGTTTCATCCAAGCAGCCAGTACCAATGAGTATGCGAAGGGCATAGATGGTTTGGGCGGTTTTCGGGTCAGGCGAATTCCGGAGAAGCACGGTCTGGAACTGAGGTGGGTGTGTCCCAAGCCTGCAAAACATCAACCGAAGTATCCGAAAACCGAACAATAGAAAAAACAAGGAACGTTTCTGCTGCTTTTGGGTGAATGAGAGAAGCCAAGAAGTAAAACAAATCTTGATTTGAAATCTGCAACTGGGCCGCCTCCTAGAGCCCGGACAACAGACCGAAATTCCAAAGGTTGTTGGCTACTCTAGTGTTTGCTAGAATACCAAATTGCAAAGCAACAGTGAAAGAGCACAGTGACACTTGGAGAGTTCGCCTAACCCGAACCCTCAGCCAACATACCAATCAATGTGTGGGCTGCTTATTGGTGGTTTGAAGGGGTCGAAATGTAGCAAAGTTGGCCAGTAAGCTCGACAGCCGACTGGGGCTAGCTAAGCCTACCCCTAGTTACCTGGGTCGAGCTTTGGTCTGAAAATCTGAGAGGAGCGAAAAACCGAAGCATACCGAAAAGCTCATCTAAAACCCGGAAAGTCGACAAGCACAAACAAGTGCAGCCGAAAAGTCAAAGAAGCCGAAAATCTTTGAGCAGTGCCAAAAAACGCGAAAAGCAGAAAAGTCAACACTTTTCTTTTTGTTCGGAACTTTGATTAGGTTCTCCGCTTATAGCGATTTTAGTAGCGTGTTCGACCCCTGGACCAAGCGCTTAAGGCGGAGACCCTTTTGCCACATGTTCGAACGTTCCCGTGAAATCATGCGTACACTTTAGAAGGGGCCCCCACCCTGTAATAGTGGTATAATAGGAATATAATAGGGCCGTAATATAATCTTTATAGTCACTATTACAGGGTTGGGGCAGCTTCTAACGTACACTCATGTTTTATCGAACTTCTGCATGCATGGCACACTGTACGGCTGAATAAATTGTCCTGTGGCCTGTTCTTGCATCCTTGAATGTGAGGTTTGTGCATACAGCGTGGCAATGCTGAGGCAGACGAGCGGCAAGACTCGGAGAGGACGGCGCATTTCTATCAGAATCTGCCTCACTTGGTAAGCTTAAGTAGTTCGCTCAAACAGACGTTTGAACAGACTTGTTATTCGGATGCTGCTCCTGGCATGCCCACCCAGCCTGACGAATCCACTATCATCCACTCACCTACCTAGCCATCAGCACACAGCACAGATCTGCAGAGACGCACGCAGTCCACAAAAGGTGGGCGAATATATTTGTGGTCTGGCCCGCTGTTTCAGGCACTTGATGCTGTGAAGCTGTTGATGCATCGAAAGATGAGCTTCGATTGTCGGTTTAAGACCTACCTTTGTTTGCAGGAGGCATCGTGTCTCTTCCCACTTGGGCCTCCAACGCCAGGCTTCGGCAGCGAAACAGACTGAACGCATTGCTTGTCGGCCCGTGTCGTTGAAGGTCTTCCTGGCATGGTGTCGGACCATGGAGGTGTTCACAAATCATATTGTTTTACACTTGCAACGCTGCCCACCTCAAGGCCTTCCGGCTGGCAGGGCCGGTTCAAAGCGCTTTAGAGGACAGGGTTGCATGATGCGTTGCAGTTGGCTCACCAAAACTGGAACAGGAACCTTAGGGAAGTTGCTTAAGTCGCTGTGCCCCTTATTTGCCATCAGTTCCAGCAGGAAGAAGGCTTTATGCACCGAGAGCCCGGGTACTCACACGGCCTGCCGGTATACTTCGAGGTTAGCCTAAGCAGTTTACCCCAACTGCCGAGGCTGATGAGGCTGAAGGAGGAAAGCAAGCATCGCGCCATCGATCTGTCGGCGACTCCGCAAGTCAGCCGTCCGTGCTCCACATTCCTTCGGCCGCATGTCAGGTTGGAAGTCATGGCGCTCTCTCGAGAGGCAGCTGCGCTGACAGGGAGCGGAGGCAAAAGCTACCGAGTAAGAACAGGCGGCACTGCAAGTTTTGCATCTAGCCTGTGAGTGAGCCACCCAGCCACTCTCCACACTCCGGGCTGAACCCATCATAAGGGGACTACAGGCGCGAACTGTGAGACGATTATATGCCACCGCGTGCCTGTACGTGCCTGGCAGCCATATTGCAAATGTTCAAGACGCGAATGCAAATCTAAATATGTGCAGCTGCTTCGACAGCAAGGTACAACCGAGGTATCATCGTTCTTACTCACGCTAGACTTTGACCGCGACTCCTCTTCGATCAGAAGCCAAGTGCCGAGTCTGTGAGACTGTGTGCCCTGCTTGTTTGTCGCGGGCGTAGCTTCCCCTTGCAAATGCATTCAGTAGCACGGAGGTATAGCGATGCACTGTTGTCATGTTTCGCGCACACTGCCAGCTTGGAAACAGCTCGTCGGCCTCTGACTCAGCTAGGAGCTTTGCTGTCAAACGAATTGCATTTTGTCCGCTTTTGGGCCGCCGCCTTATCGGGTCTTGATTCTAATGAGGGTGACACTAGGGAGAGTACTGGCGGAGAGCAGGCAGATCGCAAGGTTACGTAGCCCCTTGAGACCCACCGCACCTGGCGATGATAACCCCCCCAACTGCGATGTGGAGGTTCAAAGCTGGCAAGGCTTAGGAGATAGCCGACACGTGAGTGCTGTGCAACTTATGCATGACGAGCACAATGGGCAAAAGCATACCGAGGGTGACATGGACAAGTCTGAGGTACCAGTCTTTGCGCGGATCTGGCTAAGTCGCGAATCGTATGTTAAATGAATATTGCTACTATTCCTAGAAGCTAACAGAGCATTGTGTATCTGGGTAGCACCGCATACAGACTTTATGACTTTATCGTTCGCTTGATGAAGTGCGAGCAAGCAGTGGACTCCGCATGCTTTGCTGCTTCGCACGGATGACGGGCGCATCTTCTAAGTGGCGACAATCTGTGGAAGGTCCTTGTAAGCAACCAATTCCACTAGTTAATGCCTACAAGACGTTCGGCAGTATTTGGCTCTTTGCACACTATTCGCATATGATTCCATCATATTCCATCCTGTCCAGATGCGCTTGCCAAAGTTGATGACAAGAAGGATGCAGCTGTCATCCGCATTGCAGAGGACTTTGTCGAGGCCATGTGCATCAATTCCTTTACAAAGCGCTCAATTGCTGAAAGATCGTCCTGTGCCAAGCTAGATGTTCTAGTTGTCTCATAGGAGATAGGACTGGCACTTCATCGATTGCCTTTACAAGCAGTTTAGAAATCAAATTGTTCTCCTGCAAAGTTTACGTATGGGGATGTTAGGCTGTTCCAGCCTGGGGAGGGTCACGGGCGCTAGCTGCTATGTACATGCAAGTTTCCATGCATTGCTTGCAGCTCAGCATAGCCTTCGTGGCCTTCTCAAGTTGCCCGCCTGAGTCCTGCAACCGTCCGGTTGAGCGCAGACTGTCCTCCCAAAGGTGCTGGCAAGAAAGACCTTGGGTGAGGCTTGACGAGCAAATCTAATGCCAGAATTGCGAGCTGATGCAGCTCAGCAGTGACCACCGAACAGTTGTTTTTTGTTGTAGACGTGGTAGCGGACACAACACAACCAAGAAATGCAGTGGACGAAGGGGTGGCGACAGCGAAATACAGCGAACCGCACTTAACAGCAAAGAAGCCACATCCGAGAAGCAGCAACTGCGCACATCGAGCACCAACTGCCAACCATGACTGCCATCCGAAACTTCGGAGAGGATGACCTCAACGGCTACACGATCTTGCATGCAGTGTCTCCGGACGAGAAGAAGGCCTCGGCCCCAGAAATTTGCAAAGCATGAGTGCTTCTTTGGCTGCAGCTGCAATGCCAGGCATTGGTTGAAGAGTGCACGCCGGTCCCGTCGATGAACCAAGCGATGGGTGCCTTATGTGGCATGGCCGTAGGCGAGGCAATGCAGAGCCGGATAGGTTATGTTAGGTTCACAAAGCGCTAGTTGAATTTCGGTGCCGTTGCAGGCGATGCATTGGGCCACCCGTTTGAATACATCACAGTGACAGACGTCCCTGGCACTTCCCGCTTTGACCTTGATACATTAGAATTCCATGGCGAGTTCAATAAGTTTGGATGCAAGCGTGGCCAGTGGACTGACGACGCATCCATGGGATTCTGCATGGCGGATTCGTTCATCGTGCGGCAATCATTTGATGGTGGTGATTTGCGCCGTCGCTTCTGGTGCTGGTGGTTTCGGGGCTACAACAATGCTTTCAGGAAAGATGTTGAGCGAGAGTCTCGAAAATCAATCGGCCTCGGGGGCAACACGCAGAAATCCCTTGAGCCATTGACTGCATGTGCTGAGACAGGCTGGGAATTCTTTTCCGCCTTTGGCTGGGGCCTGCAGCACCAGAATTATTCTATCGCTGCTGGCAGGTGTTCCACCTGAGTACGAGTCTACCAGCGAGGATGCTGGCAATGGCAGTTTGATGCGGCTTTGGCCTCTGTCGGATTATGCCTTCGGCGCAATACACGCGCTGAGTCACCTTAAGGTTGGCGGCTGTGCCCATATTTTTCCATGCTCTTCCGCTTGAGGATCTGTACAGCCGCTGCCTCAGCTTCTTGCCTCGAGTGGCGTATCGCCTGAGGTTCAACTCTATAGACAGCAGGCTGGACACGGCTGCAGGTGTGGCGAGAAAATCATCGCTAACAACGCATCCGGGATTTGTGGCGGCGGAAGCCTGTGCTTTTCTCGCTCACATTGTGCCGGACTGAGCTTGGTTCGCTACAGTGGCGATAGGTCGAGTTTTGTTTCTTTGTTTGTGTCAGTGTGGTGAGCGTCAGTGCTTGGTGAGCGTGTTTGTGGACGTGCGTGCACGTGCGCGTAAGCGCGCGGGCGGGTGGGGGCGGGCGGGGGGTACTCGCACCCTTTTTGTGATATTGCCAAATGTGCGTATTATGTTGTGGCAACATGCCCCCTGAATCTCTCTATGCGTCCGGAGCTTTCCATGCATGGCCTGGACAGGCGTCGACATCCTTTGTCGGCTACTTCGGGCTGAGCCTCAACGCTTCCGAAAGTGACAAAGCCCAGCCTACCCAGGCAATCGAAACAGTTGGAAAATATGATCATCATGTGGCGATCGTATTCGATACGACGAGAGAGCTGGTGAGTCAGTGGGGCATGAGCTGCATTTCAAGCAAGAGTGCCGCAGCGTACAGGTCGCCGTGTTTGTATTGTGTGAGACTTCACCCAGGTGCGGCAAGCAATGCATTTGCCGCCGGGTTCAGCAACGGCCAGAGAGTTCCTTGATGGCGTGTCCGAGGACACTTCAGGGGAGGGGAAGGGAGGAAAGGGGACAGGAGGAGAGAGAGGAACAAAGCAGAAGTCAGAAACGTTTATGGCCTTGTCGTGGCAGGAATTCTATGTGACCTCGGGCCTGGCGAGCCAGAGCGGCCCTGGTTTCGATGAGATGCAATGGCCTCCCGCATTGCAGGGAGAGCAAACAGGGATACAGCAGCGGAGAGAGAGCGAGAGAGAGAGAGAGAGAAAGAGACAGTGTCCGCACCTTTGCCTTGGGGGGCTGTAAACCCTCCGTGGTACGGGGGGGAGGCACGCGGTTGGCCTAAGGTTGTAAGCCTTAGGAGAGCCGTGCTGCTTTCCCCTGCGGCGCTTGAGTCACACGCCGCTGCTCATTTTGCTTAAGTGGCCCTAAGGGTTTTTCGCTCACGGGACCCCTTGACCACGGCCCTCCTTCGGGGGGTGGCCTGTCAGGAGGGGGGGACCGGCATACTACATCCTCACGGAACCCAAGGCAAACTTCCTGGGAAGATGCAATGTCGACTATGCAGGGAAGCTGGGGGGATATGCAAACCCGGCATGAGGAAGGTGCATGTGAGAAGCGATCCGGCGTGTCGGCTGCACGGAGTTACAAGCTTGGCCAATGTTTCCGTGGCCAGCCCAAAAGCAAAGCCACGAGCACAACAAGGCGAGGATGGGGGGGAAGCTAGCTCCTCTTCCAGACCTGCGCCGAGCCTTGACCGCATGGTGCAGCACCAAACACGTGGGGGACTTCACCTTCTCTTCCACCCAAGTCCGCTCGATGTATGGATCGGGCGCAACGTACAGCACAACGATGAGACCGGGGAGTTCTACGACGAGAAGGGGGAGCCGCTGGGGGAGAGCGACCGGGAGGCCTATGCTGGCTATAGGGGGAGACTTTCTCAACGCCGAGCCCTAGGAGGAGCAGCAGACAAGTTGGTGAAAATCACGGACGAGTTCATGCCCCGCATCACCAACGAGACGCGTGCCTTCATAATGCGTTTCCCTCACCGCATCCCAAAACTCCTGAAGGATGCCCGCAAGGTGAAGAGGAAGAAGAAGCAAGCACAGCGGGGGACGAGAGCAGCCACAACGCGTGCAAGACGACGAGACCGTGCCGACCACAGCCAAGCCGACAGAGACAGCCAGCAGCTCAAGGGGGGCGGCAACGACCAGTGTGAAAAAGGAAGACAGTACCTCAGATACACCGCCAGACTGGGGAAGCGAAACCAGCCAAGCAGATGAAGACGGGGAGGCGCCACAGCGCGCAGACGACGACGACCAAGGTGCAACCCCGGGGGAACACAACGAGGAGGACTACCACGGCTACCAGGACGCTGACTCACAATGGCCGTGGGGAGCAGAAGGCAGACCTTCGGACCGAGAAGCCAACCAAACGAAGCCAGCGGAGCCACTGGGGGAACCTCCAAGAAGGCACACAGTTGACCGCAGGAGACCCGCAGAACCAGAAGGAGAGCCCAGAGCGCTGACGGGGGAACCGCGGAGCAAAAGGCCGCACCAGTCTACAGACCCAAGTGCTGCAGCACAACGTGGTACCAGGGGGAGACCGACAACGAACCTGGTGCCGAGCATAGGCTGGCAAGTGAGGGAGGTACAGGAGTACATGGCCCGACGAAGAGTTGGGGGAAGTAACGCCGAGGAGCCGCAGTGAGTCAAGTGAGCGCAAGAAAAAGTTTTCCGAGTTTAAGTGCGAGGGGGAGAGAGGGGTGAAGTGCCTTGTGTTGAGCTCCTCTTTCCTTTCTTGGCCCATTCCATGGGGATTTCTTCATAGTTGACCCTTGCCGGAGGGATGCATGTGCCCTGTACCATTTATGTTTTTTAGCGCAGTCCTTACCGCAACTCGGGGGATTGAGCCTTGCTGGGGGAAAGCAAATGGGAACGCTTTTCTGTACCATATCCCTTCCAGAAGCCTTTGAACAATGCTGTCACGATTTGGCAGCTCGCTCCGCCTCTCTGCCAATTCATTGCAAACCCGTCTTTTTGACGATGTCCGATCCGCCTTCTACAACAATTCGTCACCCCGACTGCTTCTGGCAGGAGGGGAATTCGGCCGGCTTTTTTCATGCCCTCCCGAACCTGACTAGGCTAAGGACTGTAAGCCACAGGGGCGCGGGGACGAGGCGGGGGTTGTTTCTGTGTTTAGTGTTCGGGGGGGGCTTTCTACTTGTATGCCCGGAGCACACTGGGTTGTACAATGCCACAGTCTGGACTACCCCAAAGACCAGCCACTCCATAATACAGGGGGTGAGCTGGGCGGGTCTAGGCCTGGGGGGCGCGTGCGACCCCTTACGCCCTGCAGAAAGAAAGAGAAAGAGACAACCCCGATAGCCTCACTGACCCGACCTGGGGGGGAGCGGGGGTTGCCTGGCCTCCCCTCGCTGGGAATGAAGCACCCAGCTCCTTTCCACATGCCGCAGCAACACAGAGCCGAGAAACGGCAGATAGTGACCGCTGGCCATGGCGGAAGCAGGACGGTCGGGGGAAGTATACCGACACGAGAGAGCCGATCCGCGCTGCAAAGGGTACCCCACAGAGGGGGGGAAGCTCCACCCGAACCTTCGGGGGACGGTTCGGCACCCATAGCTGCCGTACGCATGGATGCGCCGGCTCAGACGGGCAAGCAGCCGTAGAGCCAGTCGGGGGAGCTTTGGAAGCCCAGAGCGACGCCTCCAGAGCGGGGTCAGAGGACAGTACCACAAGTTCGACGCCGCCAAAGGACCATGCGTTTGGGGAAGACCCGATGGAAAGACGCACGGTGAGGCGCTTGATTCACCCCCTCTATGAAAGCTGATGGACAGACGGGGACATTCAACGGAATGTTGCCCGACAAGAGCTCTGCAACGAGTTCAGCGCCCAGCCGGGGGAAGTCATACGGAAGCTGCCGACGGAAAAAGAGAGGAGATTGCAGACTCCCTCTTTATTCAGGCGTACAGCACGTTACTGTGTGTCAAGAAGTATGCGGGGGAGCTGAAGATGAAGGAGACGTACAAGCAACTGGTGGAGAACCCACTCCAGGCAACTGGACTCTGGTGTGCCTGTAAGGTCCGCTGGCACCGGCCGTTACGCATCACCACAGTGGAATTCCGCAAGTTGATGCAATGGAGAGTTAACCCAGTCCCTCTGGAAAGCCTGGATGAAGCGCCTTCTTCCTCCTTGGGGAACCCTCATGGTGCTCTACATGGGGGAGATCCAGCAGCAGACTCACGGGACTGGGGGGATCCAGCCCACGACGAGCCATGGCACACACCACCCGAGCTCTTCGAGAACTCCGAGCCCAACATGAACAGAGTGGGGGAAGTGCCTGTGGACCTGGACCTGACCTATATGCCTAACGATGCTGCCCTCGGCATATCTCGGCATGATATTTGGGGGAGTCTACATGGATGAGCTGGAACGAGAGTGGGTGCCCCGCAGCAGCATGTCGGCGGGGGAGGCAGTGACACCAAGTGCTTCCCTTTGGACGTGGCGCATGATGCCACCGTGGTTCGTGTCCTTGCCACCTTGCGTGAGGAGACAGAGGGGGTGGAAGTGCAAGTGGAAGACGGGCCACCAGCAGGCGACTCTCAAGTCGCGGCGGCGGGGGAACGGTTGGCTAAGGCCATCCGTCAGAAGAAGCACGAGGAGAAGCTGGACAGACAGAGGGAACTCCAAGTGAAGGGGATGCGCGTGAAGCTTCCCGCTGCGCCCCCTCGAACCGCGTGGCAGCCTGATGGCGAAAGTTCTACGACTTGCACAACACCGTGAGACGCCTCCTGAACCACCAACGGCGGGACAAGCTGTGCGAAGAACGCACCCAGCCGGGGCGATGCCAGAACGCCCGCCGTTGAAGCCGTGACGGCACTGATCGCCGTGTACAGGAAGTGTTGCTTGCCTTGACAGGGTGGAGGACCGGGGGAAATGAGTGCTGCATGTGGGTGATGTTGTCCTTAAACTTCAAGTGAGTTGTTTGCTTCGGACGGTCCCAATTGAACTTCGTTCCCTCTGCAAACTGTTCTCTATTAGCTTGTGAGGGGAATGCAAAGTGCTCGAGAAATGCATCGCAGCTAAACCTGAGCAGCGATACCTCATGCACCACTGTTGGGGGAGTTGCCAACATGAAGTGTCTTCTATTGTGATGTGAGTCGAGCGGTTGTGCTTGCCCCGTTTGCTGAGCCTATCTGAGCCTTGTACTGCGGCAAACTCGCTCCGTAATTTGTTTCTGAAGTTCAGCCCTTGACCTCCCTTCCACCATGGAAGGGTGACAAACCGGCAGGACGCTGAGCAGTACCACCACCAGTGCAGCTGTCTTGTGCTAAATTTTGCTGAAGCAGTGTTGTTTTGCACCTGCTGAAGTACTGCTTGGTTGGGGAACGGCTGAAAGTACAGCCGAGCTCCTCTTGAAAAAGTCGAGGGGGGAGAGACCTAAATCCTGCGGACTGCAGGCGCGCGTTCGCGTGCGAGGAGGGTAGCGGGGGGTAGCGTCCGCTGCCTTCCTTCTACCTGGCACAGAGAGAGAGAGAGAGAGAGAGAGAGAGAGAGAGAGAGAGAGAGAGAGAGAGAGAGAGAGAGAGAGAGAGAGAGAGAGAGAGAGAGAGAGAGAGAGGGATATGCTCAAGCCGCGAGTGGTTCAAGACCGAGGGGGTCCCTCTAGGCCCTTCGTGTCCTCTCCTCTGCGTACCCCCTCGGTACAACCAAACTTCTTGCCTCTTCAGCACAGGGCGACTCTCCTTCCTTCCGACGCATTGCAGCTTTCCGAGAAGGGCCAGTGTGCGTGCTTCCTCAGGGGGGTTGACTTCCGCGAGTAGGGTGCCTTCGGAGCATTCGGGCAACCGCAGCTGTCCTGACCCTTCGGAACTAAGACTCCCACACCTTCCACGTGATCGGCGAGCCTTCGCGAGGGGTACCTCGACAAGTCGTCCGGGGACTACCTGTACCCTGAACGAGAACTTTGTCTTCGTAACGATCGTGACTTGGCAACCTGACTGAGAAGTATAGCTTCACCTACGAGGTGTCGTCACATGGCAACACAACAGTCAAGCTCGGGTCTCAGCTCCGTCAGCACTCCGGGGGCTTCCCCGCCAAAGCCTGAAGTCCCTCACTGCAGACGATGTGCAGAGGGACCGAGTTACCATGGAGGCCACGAAAGACGTGATCCAGCATGCGTTCTGTACGGGTGCACTGCCAACAGCCCCGCAGGCATCCAGTCCTTCATGCGAGATAAAGCCGTGGAGCGAGCCAAGCAAGAGGCGCGTAATGCAGCCTTTCTGGACGCAGACGCAGAACTCCCGCTACTACCACAACCAGAACCACACCAAGAGACGGGGGACATCCCCCAAGGCCTCTGTGAGAGATGCATCCGGGGCCCGGCAAGCACAACAAAATAGCTACCAACTGCATCTTTTACGGAGCCGAGGATACAGACATCACCAGAGCTCGGGGAACTGCCCTTGCACACATGGCTCGAGAAGAGGCGTATCGCGAAGCCAGACGTGAACTCGAGGTACAGCCAGCACTCAAAGATCCGACTAAACCGAAGACGATAAGCTCTGCTTCCTCCTCAGCGCCTTCTACCAGAACGCCCCCCACCCCCACCCCCTCCCTCCACGGAAGGAGGCCAACAAGCAACCCAAGGCGACTCCCAATGCCGTCATCTACAGCAGGTTCGAAGCCGACGACCCGGTTTTGGCAGTGGTACAAAACATTCTGGAAAACTCCGGAGACATGCCGGTAAGCACCCAAGACTACATACAGCCCAACACGGGACGGCCGATCTAGCACTCCAGTTCGCGCCTGCGCGAGCCCACCGGCAGCACTGATACCACCGCCTTTACCGCAGACGAAGCCCCACATGCAGACACAGCTCGCTGCAACCTCTTCTCCGCCTCCTATGCGTACAGGGACCATCTAGGGCATCTCCCTGCTTGAAGCAGGAGCAGCTCAGGCCATCCCTGGCCCTCCCTCTTACAGTTCCAGTCAATTTGCTACAGCATCCCAGCAGGAGGTGCTAGACAAAGTGACGGGAATGGAAGTCTTCACAGAGCCGCGGCACTCCGAGACTGGCATCAGACACAGCGGGGATGACCCCGAAACACACCCCCCACGCCACGACCTCCAAGCCCAGGGCGAGGTGGACTCCAATCTGAACGCATCGATCCTGCAGAACCAGGCCAACAAGACCGACTACACGGAGGCCAGTGCCAGTACCGGGGACAACCCCCCCCAACCTCAGGGCGATACTGCGCCCCCTCAGGCACCTGACGCGGAGTCGACGAAAGGTCACCATGCAGAACCACAAGGCGCGCTGGCGATGATTCCGGAGATTGTCAACAGCGAGCTCTATTACCCGCAACTCCTGTGCCAGGTCAGGGGCGAGCCCCAACCACCGGATGCAGACGATGACCCAACCTCTCAGCCTAACCGAGATGTACCAGCTGCACCAAAGGGGCTACACCCCACTGAAGGTTTCTTCGCGGACGATGCCGACCTGGACGACATAGGGGTGGCAGCGGCCCCTTACGAAGCCCATGAACATGGCGGAGGACAAGCTTCTTCGAGCTCTGCCGCACCACCACCGGAACCACTGGGAGTGCCCTCCAGACTGACGACGCGTCAGAAACAGCGACTACAGCAACTCTTGCAAGTCGGGGAAGTTCACCGAGACAATGACGCAGAGAATGACGACCAACTCTGGAAACGCTACAGAGGGCAAAGTAAGCTGCACTACAGAGAACACCGCCGAGACAAGCGGCGGCAGGGTGACTGGTTGCCGGACCAGAAGCGAAGCAAGAAGGGGTGAAAAAGTGAGCGTGGCGTAGAATCGGGGATAACCCCGGGGTAGCCCTCTTTTTCCTTCACTGACATTAATTCGTCCTCGAGTCGTGAGCACCATGTTTTCCTTTGCAGGGGTACACCCTCAGTACTGCTGCTTCTCTCAACTCCGCACAGCTGAGTCCTACAGTAGAAGGTAAGAAGCATAGCTCCTGCCTTCCGCTATCTTCTTCTGTACTTTTGTCGTCTGAGCCGCACGCTCGGTTGTACAATAAGACGGGCCACTGAGCCATCCCAACTCTGATCCAGGCCCCTGGGCCCACTGAACTCTTTTCAACACGATCCAAAGGGCTGTTGCCCTGATGCACTGTGGACGGTCATTCAGGTGCTGTTGGCGGGGGACCTCAGTTGTCTTCTTTTTCCCTGCTGCCTCGAAAGGGGAATCCTGCCAACAGCATGATTGTAACAAGGTGCTGTGTGCAGTCGCCGAGGGATGCGAAATCTTTTTTACGCGCCCTCATCCCGTGGCTTGCATGAAACTCATTCACCTCCGCAACCGTCGGGGGCGCACTAGCGCGCGGTGTAGGGGGTAAAGCCCCTGCACCATAGCCCTGGCGAAAGAAAGGGATATATATATATATATATGTACATTGCGGCATTCTCTCGGAGTGTGGCAAACGACCCGAAGACGCATCTGCGAAGACGCATTCGTCAAAAAAAAGCTGAAAAGGCGCAGAGGCATTATGAAGACGCATGGGGTGGCGCAGACGCCTTGCGAAGATGCATTGATTGGCGCAGACGCTTGCGAAGACGCTTTGAGTAGGCGAAGACACATTGCGAAGACACCTTGGATAGGCGAAAACGCGTTGGGACGGCCTCAGGAGACACATTGCGAGATATTGCCTCGTAGGCGCAGACGCATTGCGAAGCCGTTTTCACGACATAACGGCCACAAGCAGAATGCGAGGCCAGCCTCACATGCATAACTTAATAACTCGTGACAGTTTATTGAGCATGGGTTTCGCAAGAGACCTGATGTTAAAATCAGGGGCTCTCCATCAGTCCAAGGCTCCATCCTGGGATATCCAGTTGTATAACAGTTCGGATTATGAGATGGTGTGTTTGGCCCACCCCCAACTCCATCTCCATACGTGCCCCTTATTGAGGGGAGTATAGCACGTATGGAAATGGTTTACGTTGTATTTTCGGTCAGAAGTCGTACAGTAGGCGTCCTCATTAGATCAGCAGCGCCCCCACAAGGCTTCATCCCGGAGTTCAAGGTTTGTGAGAATTCTGATTTCAGAATCAGGGGCGCCCCAGCAGTGAAAGGCTCCATCCTCGGAGTTCAAACTTTGCGAGAGTCCTGATTATAAAACAGGGCGCCCCATCAGTGCAAGGCTCCATCCTCGTCGTTCAAGCTTTGTAAGAGTTCTGATTACTCAAATCAGGGGAGCCCAATCAGTCAAAGGCTCTACCAGCAGTTCAAGATCTATAAGAGTTCTGATTTAAATATCAGGGGTGCCCATCAGTCCAAGACCTTTTTCACTATAAGATTTCTGGATTGAAAATGAGGGCCCTTGTGAGAGAGAGAGAGAGACAGAGAAACCCACAGAGACGCACAGAGACCCACAGAGACCCAAAGAGAGGCAGAGAGAGAGAGAGAGACGGAAAAGCAAAGCAAAACAAAGAGATAGAGAGATAAAGCACGCAAGCAGGAGAGGATGTGAAGAATCTGCCATGTGTTTAACCTGACTTCTCCTCGAGGTTAGTTTCTTCCCAGCCGGTTCGCGACACGGAGCGGTGCTGGAATTGGAAACACGAAACTTTAGACATCGCTGGGACACTGGCTGCACGCGGCTGGAGCTACAACGGCTATCCGGTTTCCGCAGACTATTTCGGATCCTACTCGTGCCCGAGTTGCATAAAGCCACTGCAATCATGTCTGAATCGCGTTGGACCGCGATGTATTTATGTTTCGGTGAACAAGTTGGGAAGCGAGGGACAGGAGATGGGCATTCGTTGTGTAGCCGTCTCGATCACACTGGAAGTGCGTGTAGGTTGGCAAGCGGGTTGATGCGGGCAGAGTGACTCTCCAGGATTCGCCAGGTGTAAAAAAATGCTATCGTCACATTTGGGGTTACACCGATGTTGGCATAGCAGAACAAGCACAACGTCACTTGACAAGCGAAAAGTCAATCAGTTCAGAACTACGCAAGCCATGCTACACATACCACCCCGTCTGGAATGTTCGAAGGCATCGAACGTGGCATGCCTCTTTGGACCAAGTCAGCAACTACATGAAGGGACAGCACTCAGGCTTTGGCGCTCACCCGCTCGGATACACTTGTGTGTGGACCATCTATAATTAGTAGGACCCGTGGACGGCCAGCACGGGTGGAATGTTGTCTTTGACACCAGCCTTGCTCGATCTGACAAAGGAAAGTCGAAGGTAGGGCTGCGCACGCGCCGAGGAAGGAGACGTGAAAGGCTGCAGTGTCGGTGCAATGATATGGTTGTCCACAAGGAGCCGTTTAGTCCAAAATCGGGAAGTGCAACAAACTCTTTCGGAAGCGAAGCTGAATTGGCAAGATAGCAATGGTAACCACACGAGAGAACAGGACGGTCAGGAAGAGTTTCGATCATGATCCGAATCGGCGAAAGCCTTCTTAGGACAAAAAACACCATAGTCGCACTTCCGTTGACCTTGGTCCCTGAAGACGACTCTGGTCCCTGATGAAGAGACTGCACTGGCTACATCTTCCAGTCGGATGTGTGAGCATAGAGGACCGCAACATAACTTAGGGCTGCGAGGCAAAGCAGATGACCACAACAGGAGATGACCTATATTAACATTGCCCTAAATACGGTTTCTGATGTATGCTCAATCCGTGAGCGAGCAAACTTTCATAAATTTTGCGATTTCATAGCTTGGCAGGAACAGACAGCAGCCTCCGCAGCACCAAACACAACGAGGCTAGAATCGGCTAGAATGCAAGAGAGCTGACCGCAGCTACACCTTCACTACTGGTAGCTAGCTAGTTGAGGATTTGCAGCAATGATAATTACCCGCTCGTATTGGCGTCGAGGCCGAGACTCGAGTCGCCACTCCGACCACGCATCACGCGCACTTGCTCATTTTTTGATTCGAGCCGGAATAATTGCTCGAGCTGCACAGTGCACCGGACAGTATATGCCAGAAGGAAGGAAAAGCTGCAGCATAGATCGCTTGGCCAAGCAAAGCGTCACAGACGAGGCTTCACAGAGACTCACCAGCTGTACAACCAGAATCCCGACCTTGCAATTGCACAGATCTGCAAGTACGGGATCCCGATGTTGCGGAACATCTGAGCCCACTCACTTTGAGACCAGTCTGCTTTGTTTTCATCGTCTCCCCCTCTGTTTGCTTGCTGCTTTCTCGTTTAAATCTGTGTTGATCTGTGTTGTTTGTGGTTTCGTGTTCTTGTCTGCTGTTTGCTTTCCCCTGTTTGCTGTCTGTTGGTTTTTTTTGTTTGTCAGACCCAAACCATATATCGGCGCAGGATGTCGGAGGGGATGAGGGATGGGTTGGGGCTGCCCAGCAGAAACAGCCATGGTTGAGCCCCTGCAGAACAAAACTGACATCACAAGTCCGAAAAACACTCGACTAGCCGTGCTATACTGCGACTACAACATACATAATACGATCCAGAAGGTTCCAGAAAAATGTAGCACAGTAGGAAAGATGATGAAAAGTGCCGGGGCAAATAGTGTCTTATGACTATGACTCATAACCACTTGGAACGAGAGTAGCCATTGAACGGTATTCTTCTCTTGGTCTGTTGCGTTACATCCCTGTAAGACAGTTGGATTCTAATTCAGCAATACGACACTGGGACAAGGCGTACGTATAATCAATAGTGAGGCATACAATACTAGTACTAGAAACTAGTACTTCGCACACCACTCCTTTCACGTGCCACACTCGAAGCCCCTGCGGCCGTGACACGCCGCACGGTCAAGCAATGGCAGTTGCCGCGCACCACCTTGTGCCACAGTCTGCACGAAGCTAGCTGCGATTTTCCGGCCGTGCACTCACGGCCCAGACTTTGTACGGTCACATGCGCCCCTCAGCCGAGAGCACGCGTCTGGCGGGCGGGAGGCCATACAGAAGCCGCTTCATGCCGCTCCTACTGCACAACGTGCCCGTTTTTTGGATGCCACCGTCATTTGCACACGAAGGTGTCAGGAAGCTCTTGGTCAAGAGCAGACTTCGCGTGATGCATGCCCTTCAGCGACGCACCCACGTTCACGTCCGTGCGCCCCTCAGCCACGTATGCCCGCTTGACCGAGGTCCGCTTAGAAGTAAGACGGCCGGTACCCTTGCGGTACCTGCGCACGCAAGCCACCTTGACTTGAGCACGTGCTGCCGCCATCTGCCGCCTTCAAGTTTTCGAAGCTGAAGTTTCGACAAAGGTGGGATATGGATACCTTACGCCTCCAAGACGTGAAGGTCTGACTGGGGCTCACAGTTAAGCCTTGGCGACCGCGACAATCCAAGGCCCTAGGGCCCTAGGAGAAACACGTGCCAATCCGAAGTCCCTTTCGCCTTGCAACGAACGAAAATTTCAGGACCTTTTGCACACACTGTCCGGGTTGCATCGCTCCAGGAACCGCGCGTGCAGGACAACCGCACCATTGTGCCCAGTTTATGCAATCGCTGGGTGAGCAATGCTGCGGTCCGGTTCAGGATACAACGCACAGGAGCTTCCCCTCTCTGTGGTCCGAGCCCAGCATGCACTTGACCATGCCATCGATGACCTGGACGACGGTCCGGCATTGTACTGGTACCCACGCACTTGTTTTGTTACGCAGAACCAGCAGCAACAACAGTGCCAGCGCTTCCATTTCGATGGACAACGCACCATAGGGATGAATAAACCATCCCAACTCTTGACGCTGCCGTCGTGGGAGTAAGGGCACGCGTCGCCTGCCGGGAAGGGTCGATTGTGTGACAGGGCACCAGTTCGAGCCCTTGAGGCGTCGAAAGCGGAGCGCGAGTCCGTGGATTTTGGTTAAAACCGCGAAAGCTGTTTTGAGCAAGGTCAGGAAAATGCTTCCTACCTTGCAAAAGGATACTGATTTCCAAGGCACGGTCTATTTCTCGAGCTAAAAAGGCCTCAGTGTGCAGTGAACTGTTCGACCTTGGTACGCAAGGTGCTGGATCTCCGTCCACCACACTAGCCTGGTATGTTCCAAGCTCTTGCTCTGCCCAACACTAGCCAGATATGCTCGATGAGCATCTGCACTCCCCTCCCAGCTATGCTGGGATCTAAAATAGGGTAGGCTAGTTCAGAAATAACGGGCGTACATGAGCTACGAAGAAATACGGATCATTCAGATCACCCTCCGAGCGGCAAGGCTTCAAGAGGTCTGTGTCATTAGCGTTAAAAGTGGAAAAGTAGCCAGCGAATCTATACAGGAGCACTTAAGATCCTGCATATACACGACCGGCTATAGAGACTCAAGGCCTTTCACGAGTTCACGGTCGCCTTCGCGCAACTTCAAACTCCGTGCGTCCCGTCCAGAGCTGAGACAGCTTACGAGCCCCACACTCAGTAGTGTCAAGTACGTAGTCAGGCAAATGCCCTTCGTAGAGATACCAAGTCTTTCGACGACCTGTCAGCTGCACATACGGAAAGCTGTTGACTATCTCTGCTGGTGCACGAAACAGCCGCGATCTCGACGAGCTGTGGAACCGAACCAACACGTGGCTTGATTCATCATAGCACCAGCGGTCAAACGGTCCAGGGTCAACCCAGCCATCAACCCAGCCAAAGCTACTTCCAAACAGCTGCCTTCCATACAGCCTCTCTTGCTCTATGTGCCGCAAAGCCGCATTCCGGTAGGACTGCACCTGATGCTGTCCTAGTGAGACCGTCTGTACATTGGGCTGATGACTGCCAGTGAGGCTCCTACGTGGACACAACCTAGCCCGGAACCGACCAAGAGCCCAAGCTCCGCCCTTGACGCCTTTCAGCGCAATGAACTTAGCGACATGCGACAATCAGCGCAACCGCAAGCAAGCATTCGGACTCCAAAAGAGCCGAGAAAGAATCATCATTGTCATCATCCTGGACACGAGCGCCTTGGACCTGCCCCACCTGACTGGCGATAGCCAGTGCAGCAACTAACATGGCAAGTCTAGGGTCAGCGCTGGCCGGTGCGGCATAAACACAACTAGACTCACACTGCACATCAGTTGCTTCATCATGTGATGCCTCCGAGCCCTCACTCCATACGTAGCCTATCGAGTCAAGGAGAAAGTACAACCGGGATTCTGGCATCGCCTTTGTAAGGCAATCGGCAATCATTTCAATGCCTGGTAAATGTTGGATCATCAATGCCTCGTCTGATATAGCTTCATGAAAGTGTCTCGCACGTAGTCTGAGGTGTCTCGTCCGCCACGCTCCTCCGGGAATGATAAGTAGCTGGATGCATGCAGCATTGTCGATACATTGAGTCCACCGCAGCTCTTGCCGGCACATCTCCGCCCAGAGGGGAGTCAATGCTCTCGCCAACACCATATTGTCCACGGCGGCAATGATTTCGCTTTCGGCCGTTGAAAGTGCCGTCAGCGTTTGGCGGCTACTGTGCCAGCTGACCGCACCGCCTGCGATCACCAACAGAATGCCTGTATGGCTTCGGCCACCGTCATCCTGACCAAAGCTTGCGTCCGACCATCCCTCAACCGTACATCGACTCCGTGCACATCTTAGCGGCTCCTGGCCGCGCCAAGGTTCATCAAAGGAGCCATACCGGAGTTGTAGATGGGAGGTCCTCGCCAGATATGCCAGCGTCTTCAAGCCATCCCTGTACACCGAAGAAGGGCACCTTGAGCAGTATTGGCCTAGGTTGCTCACGGTGTATGA